GGTTTCCCTGGACAGCAGCCAAGTTGACACGTGCAACTGCACTTTGACCGCTTTGCAGCTCTGGTTTTTCACGGTGTGTCTGTTATATGGAGCCAGTCTTCTGTGCACTTTTTATTTTATTTCTTCATGTGGTGTCGAACTCAAGGCTTCTGTGTAACAGAGCATAAGTCAGTTTATAATCAGCTGTCATTCTTGTGTTTACAATCATGACTGAGCAGTCATAATCTGAGTCACAGCCAACGCACAGTAATGGATCCCAGCATGCATTAGGGGTGTATTAAAAAGGGAGGAAGAATGTTGTTTGCTTGTGTCTGTGTTTTGCAGATAAATATTACAGTCAAGTAATAAAAAAAAAAAAATCCTAATATATTTAAAATCTTGTGCAGGCTATTTTTTTGTTGAGTTTGTTTTAGTTTTATTATTTTTGCTGTTATTTAGCTACCACTCTCATGTATGTACAGTGAATATGGTAATTAAGCTTAGCTTAGCATAAGGATTGAAAATAAGGGGTGTGGCTCTGTCAGAAGCTAAAAACATCTGACAACCAGCGCCTATAAAGTTCAATAATTAACATGTATCTCATTTGTTGGATTTGTATAAAACCCGAAGTGTAACAACTGGTACAGACAAGAGAGTAATATTCTCATCCTACTCTCGGGAAGAACTCACATTTTACCAAAACGTTGAACTATTCCTTTAAATCTATGTTACCTTTTTCAGGTTGTAATTTAAGTATGTATATTGTTAATTCTAAATCTTTTGAGATAATACAGCTGGAGAAATGTACTCTTTGCCTCTTGTTAAATGCTGATCACCACATGAGCACCAGATTGTTACAGTTTCTCTTGATACCTAAAGTCAACACTCCTGGTGTCTTTCATTTCCAGGTGACAAGGCCGACCCCTGTAAGTTCCAGGCCTGCAACGAGTACGCAGAGTGCAAGGTGAACAAGTGGTCGGGGGAGGGGGAGTGCGTCTGCAATGCCGGCTACTTCAGCGTGGAAGGACTGCCCTGTCAGAGCATCTGTGAGCTGCGGACTGACTTTTGCCTCAATGACGGCAAATGTGACATCATCCCCGGCAAGGGAGCCATCTGCAGGTGGGTGGGGATTAGGGGAAGTGACCTGCGTGTGTGCGGGGAAAGGGTGTCTGAGTAGGCAGATTTAAAAGGCCAGTGCTTCATCCCAGAAACAGCTTTTCAACTGTTCATGCAGGGGGACAGATTCGTAGCTTCTAGCTATAGAGTTGGTCTTGTTTTGCTTGGCTTTATGTTGATGAGTTGAAGATGAGAGATGTTCAACGCTCTCAAAGCATTCGTTCAAAAGCACATTTTTTATTTGACTCCTAATACTTTGGAGAAAGAATTATAATCATAGCTAACTAAATGGAATAAAGAATTGGTTTTGCACCTTATTTGGCAACAAATACCAATTAACTGTCTTCAAACATTTATATTTTTTATGAAGATTTTATCAAGATTTTAAAAACGAAAATCATGCCAACATTTTGAGTCAGCTATCAATTGGCCAATTACTATGTTCATTTATTTTTGGCCTTTGGCACTAAATGTACTGTTTTAAGGTACATTGATTTAAATGATTTAAAAACAATGAGCACGATTTGGGGAGTTTTTGTGTCTAAGCATATTTGTGCGTGTGTGTCCAAACAGACATTTGCATGGGTGTAAAATAATGTGCCAGTAATCCAAATCAGTGACAGAAACATGTCCTGTGGCTGTGTTGAAACACCACAGGACACGAGAACACCCTCTACCACGTCATAAAACATGCAGGCAGCTCCAGATGCTGCTGGATTGTTCATGCCGTCCAACCGCAAGTATTGCATTACTTTATGGAGACAGGAGACAAACATTTGAGGACTTATTTTATTCCAAAATAAGGCAATCATGGTTTAATAGCACATACAGAACATTATAATTGTTGTTATTAACTATGTCAAGACAACATAGAAACATGATTCAGTCTTTCATTTTTACATTCTCTAATCATTCAACAGAGAATAAAAAACAGAATGTTGTTCTTCTGCTTTTGAACAGTTTTATGAAGGTCTGTGCTCAGTCTTCTGTTTTTGTTGTGAAAATGATTGTAGCTGACACATTTTTCATCGTCACCTCAGGTGTCGCGTCGGGGAGAACTGGTGGTACAGAGGAGAGCACTGTGAGGAGTATGTATCTGAGCCGCTGGTGGTCGGCATAGCGATCGCCTCTGTAGCTGGATTCCTATTGGTGGCCTCCGCAGTCATCTTCTTCCTCGCCAGGACGTTACGTGATCAGTATGACAAGGACGAGTCTGAGGACCCCATACGGTGAGGAAAACCACTCGCTTACCCAAGGGCCAAACTTCTCCACAGAGCTCCATGAATTAGATCTATTACATTTTTTGTGTCGCTCCATAGTTTTTATATTTAAATGTTTATTTATCAGTGAGTGACACGAAGGTCAATAAAAAGGAGCACAATTGTGTCTATTCTTGAAAATAAACAAACTTTAATTTTGTGTTTGATAGTGAACAGAAACGCTTACATTTAGTGTGTTTGAAGTTTTCTCTCCTCTACGTAATCTTTTTGAGATTAAAGGAGCCTGGTTACTTTCTTGCGGGAACAGAATACGTTTAGAGTTTAGTTTAGAGACATCTCATGACTGTATCTTCAGTTAGACGGCCTAATTATCTACCACACCGTCCCTTTATTCCTCTGGACTCCCTTTGCCCTGGGTGTCCCTTCCTCCTGTCCTCCTTTGATCTTTTGTTTACTTTCAGTCTTTTGTTGCAGACACGAAGACACACAATGCGTCTGTTCACCATCTATCAATGTGTGTGTGTGTGTGTGCGGCATGGTTCCCAGAGCAGCATGTGGACAAACACTGTGTTAACCTAAGACAGTTAACTGATCAGATATCATGTTGATGTATTTCCAAAAAAGCCTTAAACATCTAACACAATAGGCTTGCTTATAGTCTGGACTCAGACCGACACTAGTAATGAAGGTTAATACATAATGAAGGTTTATCAACACTTAGGACTTATTCACTGCAGCCCAGTTTTCTTTTCCTAGATGACGTGTTGCTTTGTGTATCATTCAGCCTGCACAATGTGACAGATTCGTGTGCTGCTTTGCAGGCGAGCAGAGAGTCTCCCGTCTCTGGAAAGAGCGACCAAGTACAACCCCATGTATGAGAGTGAGGCCACCACAGGCTACAGCCATTACTACCGCCGCTACCCTGAGGCTCTTGTGTACAGCAGCACCAGCGCTGAGGCCTCCACTGACTTCAGCAGCGAGGAGATACGACACATCTACGAGAACAGTGAACTGACCAAGGAGGTGTGTGTATGTGTGTGTGGGCTGCTAACCACTGGTTGATTCAGAACATGCCTTAGCCTTTGCTCTTTTTTCTTTTTTGTACCTCATTATTTTTATTATACAGTGAAATGTTTGCACTGATACGATGCTGATAAAATCAATATTTTTTTATCAAAAACATCTAAAGCAGCATATTAACTACAGCCATGCTGTGTAATCGGGTATATGTACAGTTACAATAAGGGGTCACAGATAAAGTTCGTGGCGACTGAAGGTTGTCTTCTTTACAACCCCCTTACCCTCACTGGGCTGGCTTGTGTCTTAGTTTTGCAAGAGTTTTCCCCGCACACATTAAAACACCAAGCTGGCGTTTAAATTCATACTTTCATAAGCCTTATTTGGAAAAGCTCAGGTGCCCTTTTGAAATGTCTTCACTCGTTTTAAACACAAAAATCCACATAGCTGTACTGAAGTGCAGGTGGGAGATGTGCCTTGCTCAAAGCCATCCAGATGTTAGACCCAAGGCGAGGTATATCACTTTCATTTCCCACATCCAAGTTTTACCTGGATCTGAATTGGGAAATCTCAGGTTCAAAATTGTTCATTCACCAACTGGCTATTACGCCTTCAAACAGGAAAGTCATTGTAGTTTTTTCTTTGTGTAAAATTTCCCTTTTTGATTCAGCCACGTCCTGTTAAGTTTAATGTGTATCTGCCTGTGATGTAATGTTCCCATCCGACTGATACCATGTGTTCCTGCAGGAAATCCAAGACAGGATACGCATTGTTGAGCTCTACGCGAAGGACCGACAGTTTGCAGACTTTGTACGGCATCATCAAGCGTGAGTGCCTCTCTTGTTTTCCCTTTCATACTGCAATGAGATAAACACATGGACCAAGCAAACCAGGATATGGGGAAAAGGGGAAGTGAGTTTTAGATACAGGAGTCTGGCAAGATTGTACCGAAAAAAGGATTAGTTAGTTAGTTGACAGCTGCAGGAGACGAGTGAAAGAGGTCAAGCCACGCCAAACCAGTGTGGATACAGATTTATCATTCTAAAATCTTCACCAATCAGGCCCGGAGCTGATACGATGAGACAGAAACCATTAGGAGACATTCCTTCGTGTTTGCCAACAGTCTGGCAGTAGCAATGTGTCTGTGTGTAAAAAGTGGTGGTTGTTTTTTAAGTCCTATCTGGCTGTATCGACCACCACCGCTCTGTGTGCCATACAGTTGCTTCTTGCCGGACCAACCTTGAGAGTAAAGTTGTGGGTACTTTCATGTGCTGTTAATAAAGTAACAACTTGACCTAGAAAAATGAAATCTAATATGTTTGCGTTTGTATGTGCTGCAGTGTCGTGGATACCCGCAGAGAGAGCTCCGCCTCTACACACACGTGAAAGTCCCCTGTGAACAAACAAGGTATTTCTGTCTTCCCTTGAAGATTGTAGCAGGTTAGTTAGTGTCAGTTACAAGTCCTCTCAAGATCTTGGTCAGAAATACCAGCTACAGTAGGTTGGGATGAAAAGACAGTGAAGTACTTTGATGTCGGGATATTCACTGTATATTTACACAAAGATTTAGCATGATTAGTAAAAGTTAGAACGGACCTGTCAATAAAGAAGTGTTTAATGCCAATCAATACATTAGCAATGGTCCTACAATGAATACTTATAAATAAATGACATCAACAGTTTCAGGAAAGGGGACAAATATATATATATAGTTGCATATTCACTAAAGAACAAAGGTGATAGCTCCTGCAGTTTTGGGCACCTAACTATAATATATAGTTCTTAGTTGTAGTTTATTTATATTAATATATATATATATATATATATAAACTACAACTAAGAACTACTAAATAAGCGTATTTCCCATTTGATAACTAGTGGGCTCACATCATATTGCAGCCTCATGAATCAATAGAATAAGGTGTTTCCAAGAGCTTAAAGACAAATTGTGCAGAGTCACAATCCATTCATTTAAGACACTTAATAGTAAGACATTATATTGGCAGAACATTTTTAAAACACATACATACAGTAGAAGACTGTGTACTGTGTATATTAGGTGTTTCTAATACATGAAAGAATGTGGACCCTGCATACTGACACACTTTTTCCTGCCGCACAGAAACATGCCTCGATGTCAGTAAAGTGAAGCTCCCCATCAAGACTCTTCTCTTTCTTCATCATGGCACTCGTTGACTGTTCTTCCTCCTTCCTTTGTGCCTTCTCTTGACTGGGTGAGCTGGTTGTGACGTCAAGTGTTGCTCATCTGCTGGACGACTCCCTTCGGGGAAAACTGGACTAAAGCCCATTACTTGAAATGTTCATCACAATCCTGTCAGTAGTACGTTTGTTTAGTGGAATAATCGGTTTTGTTTCATCATGTCATATCTGTCCATACTTAAAGGGAAGAACATAAAACTGTGAATATGTATAAAGTGTTACTGTTAGGATGTTTGCTATTTAAAATATTAATCTCTACTTATTTTTGTCGCTATAAAGGTCAAATTTACTCTTTAGGTTTTCTCAGAGAGGCGCTGAGAACGTTTTTGAATCAATGGTGCTATCTTAATTTAAAATGTAGGGGTCTATAATGATTTATTTTTACAATTTTAAAGCATCACCAACGGATCAACTCTGTATACACTACGGTGCGTCAAAGAAATAGTTCAGCATTTTGCGGAAAATCTGTCTATGGGGAAATATGCGTATTCCCTTTCTGGCGGAGACCTAATTGAGAAGATTGATTGGACCCTCATATCTGTCGGTGAAGGTACAGTCAGCAGCTGTTAGCTTAGCACAAAAACTGGAAACAGGGAGAAACAGCTAGTCTGACTCTGCTCTGAGGTAACAAAATCTGCGCACTTAAGTACATATATTTTAAACAAACAAGATATAAGGTGTTAGTACGCTTTGGAGGTGCTGGTAGATGGATTTTGTTATGTTGGGACAAAGCTAAGCTAGCTGTTTGCCCCTGTTTCCAGTCTTTGTGCTAAGCTAAGCTAAACAGCTGCTTGCTGCTTTGCCCAACATCTACAGATAGAGGAATCAATCTTCCCATCTAAATCTTCGCAAGAAAGCAAAGAAGCGTTCTTCCAAAAAATGTTCAACAATTCCTTTGAGATGGCCAAATGTGGTGCTAGTGTATGTATTATTACTGTCCATCAATGTAAAAGCAGCCTTTCACAATCTGAACATTGTTCCAACTATTTTTCTACTGGCAGGTGATTTCTTTTTCCGCCTTTTTAACGGCTCCATCAATCAAAAGCTTTGGTGTGTATGTTTGCAAAGGTACGGCGTGGTAGACATGAGAAAGGGAAAACATGGTGATGAGAGAAAGGCAGAAAGCGTGAACCATTTATAGTTCTGGGATTCAGAAATAAGTGAAAACATGTTTCTGTGGAAAAATGCTCTGGGGCAAACGGCCGAGGGATTTATTCAAATGGTCTGCTTTCAGACGTCATGTCTAATGCACCTGAAAAAACAGGAATAGCAAGCTGATAAACAACATGCTCTCTTTGGAAAGCCAACCTCAAGCTATGTCTCCTGTTGAAAAAACTTTAAGGCTACCAGCAATTCTTCAAAAGAATGATCTGCCCTGTGACTACATGTTTGGCCACCATCCTGCTCCTCAATCAGAAACCTGTCAGACTAACTCCAGTGTGTTCTTTGGTCTTCTCACATGTTCTTCGAGACAAGACTTCGTATTGAGCCCTCTGTCGGCCAGTGTGACTGTCAGAATCAGACACAGAGATCGTGTCCTAGCTTCTTGTTTACATTACATTGCTTTTTTACTCTTATTTCAGAGGTCTACATAAGCGACAAACACCGACGAAGGAAGCAGACTCTTGCGACAGTGTCTTGCCTTTTGCAATCTGCATATTCAGTTGTATTTGTATATGCATGCTTTTTTTCTCCACATCCTCCATCTGCCCCCTGGAAAAACGGCCAATCATCCCATACTGCTGTCATGTAAACATCAGTGAGGATATTATTAACAGTTGTAGGATGTAAATCATGTGTGTCAATATATGAACACATTCTTTTTATACTGATATTTCTTTCACCATTTTAACAGTGTTATCATGGCGTGCTGCTGTGTACATTATTAATAACAAATTGGAACTGAAAATAAAATGTTTTATACAAAATGCAGAGGTGGAATACAAGTTAGGTCATTTACTTAACCACTGTACAATTTTGAGGTACTTGAGTATTTCCATTTCATGCAACTTATACTTCTATTCAGTTGTAGTTACTTTTCAGATTGAGATTGTATCTATAAAGCACATGATCAGCCTGTAAAATAAGATGTTTTGTTATCAAATAAGAAGTGTCCAACAGTAGCTCCGCCTCCAATAAATAGCCGCCTATGCATCAGTAATAATAATGTAACAGATATAATGCTATATGGGGCAAATCTACAACATGGGTACTTTTACTTTTGATATTTTAAGAATATTTCGTCTATTATATTTATTTAACGTTTATTCGCTTTCTTGCCGAGAAGTAGTTGAGAGGATGTCACCTGATATCACATCAGCAGCTAGTTAGCTTAGCTCACTTAGTTTAGTTAGCCTGGCTCTTTCGAAAGATAGCAAAATCCAACCACCAGTAACTCCAAAGAAAGGGGTCGTATTTAGATAGCACCTCTATAGCACCTCTTGTGCTTGTCAGTGTCACAAAAAACACATAAGACTTTCTCCCAGAGTCACTGATATCTTTTTCCACTATGTTCTTCGACCAGCTGTTTAGCTGCTCCTGCATAATCTGAAGAGCAGATTAGCCTCATCAGGTATGGATCATAGGCCCCTATGTGGCCTTTACAGTTTCTAAAATATTGTATTCACTAATCAGCCTTGTACACATATGCCATGGGTGTGGTTGTGTCATTTCACGCCTATGCACAAGTAAAGGACATTGTGTAAACACGGCATTAGTGTGGTAAAGCGATACAACTATGAGCATTGTGTCATACTTGGATCCAGCTGCAGTTTCTTGTTACATTTTATGAGCATTGTTCCAGAGGTTTGGATTATATTTGGTGTGGTTTGATGAGGTCAGCGGGTGTGTTGTTGGCCAGTCATGGCGTATTTTTAATCAAATTTAAAATAAGAAAATCAAAATCACTATGGTGACAGAGAAGGAGGGTGTGCCTGCTTTGAGTGGCTCAGAGGTCCGTGTCACTGCAGTGCATGGCAGTGGGTGAAAAATGGAAACACCAAGTGCGGGAGGAAATCATTACTGCATGCAGACAGACTGACATGTAATGTTTTCATGCTGGAGGATATTTTTGGGTCGTGGAGTGACGAACGGATGAAAAGTTCCAGTGTTGGAGAATTGTTCCCGACCAGGTGGGTCGATGTTTGCCCGTTTGACAAAAGCAGCTTCAGACTTCTGCTCGAATAAGTTGCTTGACGTGTAATTTATGATCGTGTTCCTCATGTTTGTGGAAAAACCCTTGTTCATTTGCGTTACTCAACTTATTGTTTGGGTTCCCACGGACCTCATTTCTGTTAGTAGGAATAAAAACAAAATTATTTTTGGAATATTTTGGTGGTTCTGGGCAGGAGGCTGTAATGCCCCTATTGCAACAAGCCCCACTAAAATGTTCACTCTCTCACCATTCAAAAAGCGATCACTATGATTTTAGTAAAATAAATTAGGGGCTTCTTTCCAAAAAAAACAAACAAAAAAAAACAAAAGGAATGAACAATCTGAATTAAACAATCTGTATTTACAACAGCAGCTCATTCAGGAATTGTTGGGTGTTAATTGTGCCGTTGGGTGCAGTTAATTATTGAAAATAGCCGGACTGTGGTGTTTTGGATGTGTCTGATCCTGTGATATCACCAGGGGGCCGTGTATCTGTTTGCCTGCACTCAGATGACCATAAATAGATATAAGTTTGATGAAAGCTGCATTAATCTTAACTTGATTTTCAAATTAGATTTTAACCCTAGCTGTGTTTTCATGACTCAAATGCATGTGTGTGTGTGTCCGTGTGTAGTTGGAGAGGCTCCAAGATTGGAGATGAACTGGAGTATGACACTGAATAGATACCTGATTGCACAGGATTCCCACATTTTGAACACGTTAAGTAATCAGAGCCCCTTCTTTTTTCCTGTCCTCCTTCCTCTTTCTCAACAACAGCCTGTAATTATGCTGATAAGCCTGCAGAGGTGTTATTTGATATATCAAAGAGTCTGCACCTCATTGCCTTGTGTCTGTGCAGACTCTTATTAAGTGTCTTATAAAAGTCTGCTGATTTATGAGCAGATAAATGACAGAGTTAGCGGGAAAGCCCTCACCAGCTGGCTGTGAAACACTGTGCAGAAACGGTGGTGTTTATATGCTGTACCCGTGCAGCATGGAAAGGAGTTTGGTACACTGGTACCTCTGAATGTGACCCACAAGTAGGACTTTTATTCATTGCTTTCAGCAGCTGTTTGGGAAGATTTCTTACTAAAGATAATTTCAAATTGTTACACCTGGAGGCAAATTAGCTTTAATCGATAAGCTGTTTTACTACACCAAGAACATGGCAGATTCTGTTATACTCGTACATCTCTTTGTTATAGCACTTTCTCCTGCAATCTTTTGCACTCACACTAGTCCCTCCTCTCGTCATTTCCTTTTATATCTAATGGCTGTGTGTTTTCTTTCTAAGCCTGATGTGAACACAATAAAGTCTCCTGTATGTTTTTTTATTTTCATGTGGGTGTGTGTCAGTGGGAGGAGGATGGAAGATGAGAGCCAATCGGATCGAGGGAGAAAGAATCAGAAAAGGCACGTGGCTGGATTACTGCCCTGTCTTTGGCCCACGTGCCTCACCAGCAGCGTAGTGTATGTAATGGGTAACCAGGAGTTCACGGCGGATAGGAGTGTGCAAGTCATCATTTGCTTTTCCCCCAACCCCCACTGGCCTGATGGTCATTGCCACAGGCCCAAATCGGCCCATTATTGAACACTCAGCATTTATCACCATATATTTCCCTCAGTGGTTAAAAGGAGAGCAAACACTGTTAGGAGACTTCACCGGGTGGCTATAAACTCCTAATGAATGCCAATGTTTATCTGCTGGATGTGTGAATAAGCAAGATTATCTTTGTTTATCTGACACAACAGCCTTAGGAACAAGGAATAAGGAACAAAGAATGTATTGTGATATCTCAGGAACACCTCGAGGGATTTCTTCAAATTTGGCACAAACATCCACATCAAGGATGAACTGATGATTTGGTGCGTAAAGGTCACTGGGACATCACAAAACGCATTTCTGGCCATAACTCAAGAATCCATAGGCGAATTATGACAACTTCACACAAATGTCTAACAGGAATACATTATGAAGTGATGACATTTTGGACAGATGTGGATGTAAACAGCAAGTTGACTAGGTAATTCTTTAAAATTCATTATTTGTTTTTTAATTATTTCATTATTAGGAGGAAAATGGAAATATGTGTAAATGTTTCTTAATCGGCATTTTCAGTCAAAACCTTTTTTAGAGTCTAATTATTGTAAGATGTATCAATACTAGCCCAAAAACCATACGGTATAGATGAGCTTAAGCCAATTACCAGCAAAGTAGAGTATTTGCACTTCCTGTTGTGCATCGTATAATTCATGGGATTAATTAGCATAGCAACATCCAAGGCAGATACACATGGCGATACAGACCTCCGGAGATATAGCTAGCATAATGGGTTGTTGATTCCAGCTTGCCATTGCATCACCCCATTTTTCAGCCTGCTTCTACTTTTCCTTCCAAAATCCCACTCAAAGCATTATTTCGTTGTTTTGGCAATTAAAATGATGTATTTCAGTTTGTGATGGTTAAATTCTTTTCTCTTGCTTGGCGGTCGCTGCCAAGGGCTTCTCTCTCTCACTCTGAGGCCTTTTGGTTTGTGACGCAACCCTCTCCGAGACTGATTTATACCACACAGATGTTCTAGGATGAGTACTTATCCTGTTGAGAAGTACTGTGCGTGTGTGAGAGAGTTTCTATGTGATGAGTGTGATGCCATTAGTAGCAAAACAGAGCTGTCCAAGGACTACAAGGGAAACACTTAAGGACCTATGGTACTGTCATGAAAATAGTTTTTCAACTCCCTTTTCCCCATTTAGGAGAATATCTTCCTGACTCAGTGACAAAATGGATAAGTGCAATGAACACTCGAAAGTGTTCATTTGAACTGATTTTAAACTGGATAGGGTTTAACACTAACCTGTTACCACTCCAGTAAAATTAGCCTAAAACGCCTATCCAAGGCATACCCAAAGTAAATTGAATGCTGTTCTTGAACCATTTGGAGTACATGCATGGTTTTGGTCTCTTTTCAAAGGCAACACACTGCAGTTGTTTTCCACCCCCCAACAGTCAGAATCACTGTAAGTGCTACTGGCATTGAGTAATAGAAGTTTGAACACTGAAATAGAAGGTTTTTATTTCCACCTGAATATTCTTTTGCAGATGACTATAGCTGGGACTTATTAGCTTGTCTTCCTTACTTGTAGGCCAGCTAGAAGGCTCTGGCATGTCAAATAATACACCCAACATGTCAAACTAAAGATCTGATTGGTTGAAGACTGACAATCAACAATATCGTCCCCATTCACTTAAACTGCAAAGGGATTCACTTGTGAGTCTGCAGGCCTGGGCCTGTCTTCTTACCTAGAGACACAGAGGTGAAATGTGATTGGATAAAAGCTCTACTTAAAACAAGCTGCACTGGAAGCAGAGCAACTGAGGAAGACAGGAGCTGTGCAATGAGAAAATAAGATAATTGGAAAAATATTTTTATAAATTATAATACATGTAGTGTATTTAAGAAATAAATATTAAATTATAAAATTGTCACGTCCGAGGGGCAGATCAGAGACTCAAGCACAGACTGACACTTGAGACGAGGTGAAGTTGAAAACAAGGTATTTTACTGGTCACCAAAAAAAGTAATAAACAAGAACTTAAAGAGACTCCAACAGGGCGGGAGCAAAAACCAGAAAAAGACAAAGTCCCAAAAAAAAAAAAGCAAAGTCTCAAACCATGGAACGTAGAGAGACAACACGAGGGACAAACACTGGAGACACGATGAGCACATGGGGAGGACCCAGTCCGGAACATGAAGAACAAAGA